TTTAGTTAGTTGGTTATGTATTTTTTAAATAAAAAAAAATTTTTGAATTTACTTACTTGTAGCCAGAGTTAGAGGCGATTGGATATTTATGACCGCTACTGTAATTCGCTTTTACAAAAAGGATAAATTTATTTAGTATTAAATTTAGAATTAAAAGTTTCAGTAGAACTGAAAAAAAAACAACTGAAAAAAAACATTCAAAAAATAAATATATTAAAATCAGTAAGTTTTCATCCTAATAATTAATTATTGATTTTCTTATTTTAGTAAAGTAAATATAAGTAAATTACCAGTATCAAATAAATTGATTAGTAAAAAGTTAGCTGTTCACAAAACTTCTAAAGAATATGATATTATAAGTTCTTTTAAACCTTAGAATAATTTGAAAAATCCAGTTATTTTAGATAATGAAAATAAGACAGAAAAAAGTATCAAAATAAAAAAAACAATAATGATAAGTGACAAGGACCTTGATAATTCAAATAAAATTATCAGAAAAAATAAAATACTTACACTTTGTAGATTTATCAGAAGATATGCATGCTGCTTTACATGTAAGTAAATTATTTTTAAGGTCTTTTTATTTACAGATTTTATTAATTAATATAAATAAATATTTAGTAGAATGTTTTTTAGAACATTAAATGAATACTAATAAAGCATCAATTTGATGTTAATAAAATATTTGAAAAGCAGAAGAGGTTAGTGATGAAGTTAATAATACTTATTTTATTAAAAGTATTAAATCTGAAACATATCTGATTGGTGAGGCAGTACTTTATAAAATGGTCTATCAATACAATCTTTATTAAAGAGAAGAGATAATGGATAAAAAAAGGATCAAGGCATATAAATTAAAAAAATATTATATTATCATAAAAATTCTTATAAAAAGGAGGTAATAAACTAATTGGTTTATTAATTGTATATCTATTAAACATTTATAATATAACAATATACTTGTATAAACAAATTTGTTAATAAAAAAAACACAAAAGTCTAACATCATTAGGCACTTACAAAGAATAGATGATCTGATTTTGTTTTGAAATTCCAATGATCAGAATTTAATTTTAATGGAAAATAAGTATTATAGTCTAAAGGTTTTGGATTTGGAGAAGCAGTACTGTAAGTATAAGATAAAATGTTTTCACAAATCATGAAAATACCGATACTAACTCATTTGATATTTTCAAGTTACGTTTATTTTTAAGAGGTTATTTAGACGTAATCCATTATCAGCAGGATCCTGATCAGAGTTCAAACTAGTATAAAAATTCTGGAACCGGAAAATTTAAATTTTATTGGCTGGAATAAAATTTGCGTAATAAAAATGTAACGATTTTATTTCGATTGTCATTTTTATCAAATCTTTTTATAATGATTATTTATTTATTTACACATTGATCAATATAACCGAAAACTAATTCAACAATTTTTAAAAAAAATACGGTAAATCAGAAAATTTAGATATATGCAGGATAACTTTGTTTTTTTTTAAAAAATCCGGATTTTTTTTTTTTATAAAAGATAATTAACCGGTATATGCTAATACACTGGTCCTGATAGAAGAAAACGTATGCAAATTTACGATAATAATAATTTTGCAACTGGTGAAACCCAAGCACCTATTAATGCGTCTCGTTAGACAAAATTGAAATATACAATTTCAATGAAGGCTTTGATCGAAAGCCAGTCAAGCTTGATGAAAAATCAAATTATAAAAAGAAAATGACGAATGAGTATGTATGGGCATTAGTAAGAATTTGCATATATTCTTTTTTTCTAATAGAAACTGATACCGGGCTCATGTTTTATTAATCGCTTAATAGGCTAGGGATAATAGGGATGTTACAATAGAAATGTTAATAGGGACATTATAGTAAAATATATTTTTTTGTATTTTTTTGCATATAAAATCAATATAATTAAAACATAACATTTAAAATTGATTAATATTTCATAATTGGTAGTCCTAGTAGTTAAAATATGAATAATATTAACATTGGTATAAATTATTATAATTATATCAATCGATGTGCCGAAATCGAAATTATCAGATTTAGCTATATGTTTAATTTTTATCAGCCGGTATACCTAAATTAAAATTTTTTCTTTATATAGAGTCAATCGGTAATATGCTACAAGTAACATATTTAATCGATAGGCAACCCTATTGATATCCGATTTGGTATCCTATTGATAGCCATGACATGCCATTTTCATGTTTGCAATCGGGTACCCTGCTAGTATTAAATAAAAAAAAATCGGGCTGCAATAAGGCAGCCTGAATGGACCGATTTGGCATCTTTTAACCTGTGATGCTTTTGTAAGAGGTCTAGGAAGCACCCTTAAGATTCTGTTTCTTTACCTTTTATTTTTTCCATTTTACTTAGCCGGCTGACTCTTCTCATGTTAACACTTTACAAAAATATATGTAATAAAGAATTTTCTTGAATTTTTAAAATGTGTATGATGTGAACATTGGTATGTAAAATAATGTTTTTTGCTATAAGGCCCTGGCAAAATGCATATTATATAAACAGTAATATTACGCGCATTTTTTTGTAGTAGTTCGGATTGTTAGATCTAAAAACGATAATCTCAACAGATATAAATTACTACCTTTTTCATATTTTTTGTCCGCTTTTCAATCGTAAACAACTTATAAATCAACTTAACGAAAAGCAAAAAAACGGACATTAATTGTGAAATTAGTGGTAACAATGAAGTTGCCATAAAAAGAAGATTCAGATTGTAGAATTATAAACCTAATATTACGCTTGTAGAATTCAATTGCTGTTAGATATTATATAAACAGTAGTATTACGCGCATTTTATTTGTAGTAGTTCGGATTGTTAGATCTAAAAACGATAATCTCAACAGATATAAATTAACAATGAAGTTGCCATAAAAAGAAGATTCAGATTGTAGATTATAAACCTAATATTACGCTTGTAGAATTCAATTGCTGTTAGATATCATATAAACAGTAGTATTACGCGCATTTTATTTGTAGTAGCTCGGATTGTTAGACTAAAAACGATAATCTCAACAGATAAATTAACAATGAAGTTGCCATAAAAAGAAGATTCAGATTGTAGAATAATAAACCTAATATTACGCTTGTAGAACTCAATTGCTGTTAGATATTTAATTATATAAATGGGACGATATTAAAGTATCTGGTATATCAATTCATAATGAAACAATTAGCTATTTTATTCGTTTTTGTTGCTTGTCTCTTGTCATCGATTTTCGCACAGTTTGGTTGTGAAACTTGTTCAATGTGTAAGTGAAGTAGCCGCAATTATTTTCGAAAATTAATTAATTAAATTATTTAAAACAATTTCAGGTATTTGCCCCGAGGGGACTAACCCACCACCGTCATCATCAAAATGTTCTTTAGCGTGTAACCAATGGACTTGTGAGTATCTTTTTTTTTTTGTTCTAATATTATTTTCAAAAACCTTACTAAATTATTTTAAATCAGGTTCTTGTCCAGATAAGTCTTATTTTAACTGCATTAACTGTACGTGTTATGGACGACCTGATCGAGATAATGGTAACCATTATAGAGGTCCCGATGAAGATGGCTGGATACGTGGTTTTAATTGTGATTGTTCTGGTTGTCAATGAATGCCGTGCATTTTCATTGTGTATTAACTTATGTATTTTAAATGTATTACTATTAAATAACGACCCTACTTACATGTGGGAGTGTGAATTTGTATACATCGAAATAATAAAATAAGATCATATTTAATAATGTAATCGGCTTTATAAAAAAAATAACACATATGCAATCCACTATGTAAATGTCTACTTCTAAAAATCGCACGTTTTACTCAGTAAGACCCAATTCTCGAAGATATTTAGGAATAACTACATATGGTTCTTCGTAATATCAAACATACTTTAGGGAAATCCCGTTCTCTTTGCATAATTTTTTCTTGAGTTAATCCCGTGCTTGTTGCTTGATAAATTATTCGGGTCTCCTCTATGAAAGAATTTTATGTATTTTCATGAAGTGCTCCTTGCACTTCGATTTCAAACCCATATTCATAATAGGGAATATCGAGCTCTAAACCTGTTAGATATTCTGATGTTTTAAGAAAATTAGGCATATGGACCAAGATATTTTGTTACAATCTCTCGGCATAAATTTTCACGTTGATAATTTTGACAGTATGGACACCATTTTTTTATTCAGCAGACCTTTTGGCAGTGCCATTTTAAAGGTTTCCGATAGGCATACTCCATTTCGTTTATATGCCTCCTGCTTGGCAATTTCAAGAGTACATGCTTTATTACCTGCACAAGTCGGACACCATGATTTGTTATTTTTTACAGAATTGAGACAAGCCAACCATACATGCCCATTATGACAATGCCATAGCAAAAGTATATTACCATTAATATAGTTTTTAGAGAGACATTCTCCACCACTATTTAACGCAACAAATTTAGCAGTTTCGAGGGTATGCCGGACCGGTCCTCAAAATATGGACCGAGGACCGCAAGGACCGGTCCTATTAACCGGTCTAAGACCGGTCTTACCAG